ATTTGTGTTTCTTTGAGGCAAGATGGTGTTGTGCTTTTCCCAGCATTGCCAGGCTTAATGTAAAGAGCGTGCAAGGAGCCAGAACGGATAGAAGAAGAAGAAGAAGAAGAAGAAGAAGAAGAAGAAGAAGAAGAAGAAGAAGAAGAAGGAAAAGAAGAAGAAGGAGAAGGAAAAGAAGAAAAATAAAATGAAGGAAATATTTTTAATCTGATCAGACGACAGAGATATGAACACATATAACTATAATCTCTCTCTCCCCCTTCCCCTCACTCTCTCACTCTCTCACTCTCACATTCATCCAGAAATGTTTTAGGGCACCTCTTCACGGAGTATCGTTCTTCGGTGTCCATAATCCTGATCCCCTTTGGGCCTACTTTAAATACACTTTGTTCCTTTTGTAGCCAACATCAAATTATGTAGAACTTTGCAGGAATTATAAATATGTCATATATGTCCTATCTGTGAAATTTAAACGTTAGCAGTGTCCTGATATACAAATTATGCAAGGAAACCCGTTTACTTGCTAGACTTCACTGTCAGACACTATCGAGTGACTGACTGGCCTTTTCTTCTTCTTTGGTAATATAACATACATAAAATGAGCTGTAAAGGGTACATGATCATTTGTCTACATCAATAACCCACTTCTTTTAATGGCCAAAATTAAACTGATTGAATCTTTGCGCAGCATAAAACGTACTGTACGACCATTCTGTACAATGGTCTGAATATCAAACTATTACTTACTGGCTCTATAGCTCTTAAGTCGATTTGACAACTAATAGCCGTTATTTTCCCACTTAAAGACATTTTCAAACCCCCCTTTTTTAGGGAAGTTCTAAATTAGTATTATCTTTTAAATGCCGTTGGAATTTAAATTTTTCATTTTTTTGGCCTGCAAATGGGAAATAGTACCTAGTGATTAAGAGTTATACGCCATCGGCCAAAGCTGTTACATCCGAACACCTTGAGTAAGCTATTCGATTTACATCCTTTTAGTATCTGGCCGATTAATATTTAATAATCATCCACCCCGCGATCTCCTACTTCTGCAGTTCTGCTGCAAGCCGAAGATGACGTGATCCCTGAATATCTACGCCAGGCGAACAAAATCATAGGCTGAGCGTGCGAGTTCGCTGATGGCGCCATCTTCGGTAGAAAACATGCTTCATGCTCAAAACAGAATACAATAAAGATGGTAAGGTTTACTCCAAAACTGACTTTTATGGCGATAATTATCATGAAGATGCACTGCGGTGAAGGATCTTTACTCTTATACTACCGTGTGAGTAAACAAAAAGAAGAAAATTGCTTATTATTTTAAAAATTATCTATGAACAGTAAATTATTATACATCTTATGGAAGAGTGTTTTATCCCAAATCATTTGGTATCATTTTTGTGTGGTATGTGTTCACCCATAGATGAACAGGTGGCATTGTTTGCGAGAGTGCATCGTTGATAAAAGCGAAATCTATTATTAAAAAATTATCCTTGGACGAAGTGTTTTGCCCCTCTCGGCCCACGTGTACCCGGGAATACTGGGGTAATACGAGTAACATTGCCCAGAAGAAGAGCATTACACACTTACGTTGCTACCATGGGCAGATTAGACAAAATTAATTATTTATCATTTTTAATACTATGAAAAATAGGTATATTAAGCTCATAACAAAATAAATAACAGCAAGTTCTATGCTTTAATATTTTTACCATCGGTTTTTTTTTTTCAAGTTTTGCTATAATAAAAAAGGTGAGTATTGATGTTATTAAATTCGATATCTAATGGTATTTGCCGAATTTAAATCATAAAGATTCTTCTTCACCTTCTTTGTTGTTGTTGTTGTTGTCGTTGTCCTTCCTCTTCTTGTTCTTCGTCTTCTTTGTTATTGTTCTCCTTGTTATTTGTTTTTGTTGTTGCTGTAAAGCGTATTGAGACATATTTAATTAGATTTTGCGCCATTTAAAAACAATTGGATATAATCATGTATGTAGGGATGTGTGTAAGGGTGTATGCTTGTACGTTTGTATGTTGCTGTTTTTTTTCTTTTGCTTCTTATTCTAATCGTCCTTCTCCTTCTTCCTTTTCTTCTTCTTGATTATCCACCGCTTGGGAAATGGTTCAAAAGCACGTCTGAGGTTGGAAGGTTGTCTGGTGCAATTATTCTCGTCATGTTCTGAGGTTTAATCTAATATCGAAATCTATGACAGCAGTCACTTCATTCAACGTTTTATATGAAATGAGTTGATTTTCATTGTTGGAAACATTTATCGAAAGAAAGTCACGATGTGAAAGGAAGCGCCAAATTTATTGCATCATCATTTGTAGGATTAACATTAATTTAGAAGAAGAAAAAAAATACTAAAAGCATATTTGTTTATAAAACAAACTCTCGTATTCCAGATGAACGGCCAGTGACACATGCAGAATGAAAAGGAAGACAATACAGTAATTAAATTAAGGGTTTATGTATTTTATTCTCCTTTGCTACTTGATCCACAAGAAACTGAAAAAACAAAGTGCAGCTCATTGCTTAGGACTCGTGAAATATATACAAAATATTTCCCGTACAATAATGAATTATATTCAAGAGATCCCGTTATAGCGTTTACCATTTATTTTTCCAGACATGTAAGCAAAATACAATTATTAAAGATTATTCATGAAAACCATAAATGGCGGGGCGTTTCCAGAGGGGAATGGTGTTCGTATAACTTGTTTAAACCAAAGTGCCATGAATCAGACTTATTTTTCTTTCTGATGAGGAGATGGCCTGTTGAATATCTTACTACTTATTAACCTACTAATGTCAAGAGTTGAAAAATCTTAAGAGCTTTTCTTGTAAGTAAAGTGAAAGTTCTGAGAATATTTTCATTGCCTATTTTTATATTTTGCTAAGCTTTCGGGAAAAGCTATCTAAATGCAGCATGGAACTGCTTTCAGATAGTATAGTAACGCTTTGAATTAATGGTGACTTCAAGAAATCTATACGAATATTCAATTATTCCATGTTTATCAATATAAACAAAATGAAATGCAAGAAACAACAGCAGCTCAAATATTTACAGGCTTAGAGCATCAACAAAATATGTCACCGAAATGACTGAATAATCCTTTTCATCTTCCTCGTAATTATATTACTCACGAAATTTCACAACACGCATACAGACAAATAATGCCTGCTGTGAATTCAAGTTGATTTTATTATTGACCATGATAGCAGAGGAAACAGAGAGAAACTTCCCAATTTGATTAACATCCGGTCAAGGATAACAAGTGTTTTGTTAGATTCATCATGAATTTTATACATTTCATTTCAATATCCAGATTTTGCGTAACCTTTACAGATATGTTTTACTCATCCTTCTGCTTTCAGGTACCAGGCCATCAAACCAGGTGCCAGTTTGGACCTCTTTATAATAATGGCAATGATGATGATACTAATAATCATAATGATAATAAAAACGATTATGCTAATCATGACTATACTAGTGATAGTAACAATGACGTTCATAGGAATTTATTTCAAATTTTTCTGCCTCGGCTTTCGGGTGAATTGAGGATTTAAAAAGCGCTCTATATCTTTTACATTTAGTTATTGATTATATTTCATTATGCTTTATGCTATTAAAATTGTACTTGTGGTTGAGCGATTGCCAAACATCAAATGCTCATAATACTAATAATGATAATAATATTGATTTACATAATACAACTTCATTATAAATATACATTACTCAACCGCATTTTAGAAATAATATATGAAAATAATATTGATTTACATAATACAACTTCATTATAAATAAACATTATTAAACCGCATTTTAGCATTATTTGTCAACAAGCAGACACATGTAGACCTAAAGTTACCAATCATGATTTTTGATAGGCGCCGTAATATCCACTAACCAAGATGTGAAATATAATCTTTTGCAAAGAATTGGTTTATTGTAAGCATACATTAGATATGATACAAAATAAAAACAATATACAGCCCAGAACCCCCCCCCCCGAAGTTATTTTGATAGCGTTTACCCATACACGCTTCCCTGAGCAGCATAGCTTTGAAAATATCATGTAAAAACCCACCTGTGCCAAATTTTTGACAAACCGCCAAAAACTTAGGATAACATTCGAACATAAACTGAAAGAAACATACATTTAAAGAGCTAATAAGACCTTGTTTGCTTGTTTTGCTTTGTTAATTCAAATCTGTACTGTTTGTGGGGACTAAGACCTCGATTGACATGTTAGATTTTATCTGTGCGTAAAAAGCCCCGTTATCATGAATATTGGGATCGAATTTATTTCGTTGTGTTCCTCACTTCAAATTTATAAGTTTGAGCTAATACTTGAAGCGATGACGTATCATCTCGAAATTACAATTTTCACTTAAAACTTAATTGTGAATTCAACACATTATAAGATCCTATGCTCACAAAGATTTATGATTAATCAATTGACCTTCATGAGTGGAAAGGGTATTAATGCGGGACTGCATTACTTGTAGCTACTTGCACCCTCTATAAAGCAAACCATGCCTAAGTGGTATCCGTTGGTCCCCCATGGTCCCCTTTTTCTTATATTTATTGAGAGCTGATTTAATGAGATAACCACCTGTCAGTGACCATGCAGGGAGGTATAATTCCTCCTGGCCAAACTAGTGCGGATTGGCGTTAAAACATATTTATCAGTGTCTGAGAGTTAAGAGGAGAAAAGGAAGAAGAAGAATGAGAATAAGAAGGAGGAGAAAAGGAGGAGGAGAAGAAGAAAGAAGGAGAAAAACGGAGGAGAAGAAGAAGGAGAAGAAGAAGAAGGAGGAGGAGGAGAAGAAAAAGAATAACAACAAATCCTACATGCTGTCAAAGACAAAGGGAAACATTACATCCGTTTCCTCGATATTTCGATTCTAAAAGATAGGCCTATTTAGGTTTCAACGATATAGCTATTTTGTTTCGTCGATACGACTTTAACATGGCTATCATGATCTTTCGGGGTTGCTACAGAACTCTCCTCTGTTCGCAAAGAAATCTCAGTATTGATAACATTTTTTGTGTTACTCAATGTAATTTCGTCATCTTTATTCCTACTACATGGACATATCTCCTTCAGCAGCTGACGGAAATCGGTTAACCGAGTCCAGTAAATTATCGGATTGAGAACGCCATTAAGTGATTGTATTCCCCGTGAAAGTTTATAAACAACTTCAAACCAAAGAGTGTAATCATAGTTAGCGAAAGTCAAGTCGGGTCTTAAGGTAGCTATGAAATTGCACAAGCAGTAAGGCGTCCAGCATACGATATTTGTTCCCACAACGAGCGCAAATGTAGTAAGCACTTTCTTATTTTGCTTTATGCGCTGTATCAACATGCGGTCGGCTAAGCCGGCTTTACGCGCTGCGCTTGCAATTGCCCAATACACGAGTGCATAGCAAACAGTGGAGATACCGTTGGACGCAATTATCAAAGCCGGTAAGCCTAGTCGAATAAATACGAAACTAGTAGTTCTGTCAAAGCTGAAGAACGTAGCGAAGGGTACAGCCCATATGATGACACACAGGATGATACAGCGCGGTGCTGTGACGAGGTTACGCTTGTTGAATGGGTCGAAACGGATGATGATGAAGCGATGAAGTGCCACAGCTAAAGTGCTGAATATTCCTATGAAGTACATCGATCGGAAAGTAAGTACGATCCACCATACCTATAAACAGGTGAAAGGGTGAAGAGTAATCATGATTAAAAATTCGCATGATTATACAAATAACAGATGTAACTGAATAGTAGTTTTATAAAGAATACAGAAAACATACCCACACTCACGCGCACAATCTTATGGAGGATAGGGCCTTGTGAAAGTGACATCATTAAACAAAAACTGATGCAAACTGAATAGTGCAAACAATTCTTTGAATTACTGGCGCGTCCACTACTTCAATGCAATGTTTGCAGTAGTGCATTCTCCATTCATTTTCATGCGTCCGGCATCAAGGGTGGTGCAGGCACACATATTGCTCCGGTTGTCTCATTTTCGCTCGCTGGACCATTAACTGCCAGCACGAACGTAGCTAGTTCCCCGTCACTACCAAACTAGAATGTTCGACTATGTTGCAGGGTGTATATGCCATGGGTATGATGTGTGAACCGGGTGTGCGGAAATGGTGTGTCGGGGAGGGGAAGTGAGAGTGTTCATGTGTGTGGTAATTGTATGTGTGTCAACAAATAAAGACTAATATATGACAGGTGGCTAATCATAAATCTACAATGACGAGTAAACTGGGTACATCACAGTCCACAGATAGATGTGCCTTGAACGTATAGCAGACGGCAATCGGCGGATCAGATGACACTTGATAGTGATTTTGTATGTGACATTGCTTTGCTAAATATAAAATACAAGAACCTATTCCATATCTTTAAACTATCATTGATATCTGATAATTAAACATAAAAAACCTACCAAACTACATAATAAAATGAAATACTTGACTGAAAGTAGGGGAGTTTGATGTGGTGCACAATTGCACCCCTCTGTAAATAATCGAATAGTCCATGGCGTTCATGAATATTCATGTATTCGCTTACCTCGGCAAAATGCTTGCCTATACTAAAAAGAAAAATTACGGTGGGGGGTTGGCTGAAATGGAAATAATGAACAAATCAGAACTGATCTATGATTATTCATGCTTGTTATCCTTCGTGTGCTTGAACTATAACCTTACAATCGCGTGGGAAATCGAGTCCAAAGTTCGACTTGTTGCACTTGTGTTATATAGGCAATGGCGAGCTTGCGACCTATTTTGATCAAATTACGGTGGGTGAACTTTCAAAAGTCAATGGGACATGAGGGTTCCAATGAAAGAGCTAGTGATAACGTACGTCGGGGTGGATGTACTTTTCGTTTAAACAAAAAATTAATTATTAACGATTTTTTTGGTAAAAGTCCATAGGCTAACGTACATGTTAGGCTGCTGGACTCTGCCGATAGGGAGCGTTGTGAAATGAGACTAAACGGAGCTATATGTGATGCTTTTGGGTAGTTCGTCCGTTCGGCCGACTGTCTGTCTGTTCTGTTCTTTCTTTTTACCGCGATAACCTGATAACCATCGAACAGATGTTAACCAAACATGTAAGAAGTATGTATGAGGATTTAAGGATGTATGGATAAAATTTATATTCTAGCTGTCAAACATCAAAGGTCACATGGTCATTAAAATGTTTCAAATTTCCCAGAAAATATCTCGTTACCGCGATAACGCGAATATCATTGAGGCCATTATCAAATTTGGGAAACTGTATTCGCAACATACAAGGATGACCTGTTTAGATAGGCTATGATATTTCGGGTTGAGTTTAATGAAGATCAGGTTAGAATGGATATTACCACTGCACACAAGAATATTTTGAAATGATAATGGTATAGTATTTATCGAAAATGTATACATTAATGCAATTTTGGATCAGTATTGGCTATATAAGGTGAATGTGTACAAATAAGAAGTATTTTCTTTTGGAGGCAAGATATTAACAAAATATTCATCGTGTCTTTTACCCATACTTTGTTACGATGAGATATGTATGACGAAATTCATGAATGAATTTCACTTTTGAAAAATTAATATTTTATATTATGTAGAATGCAAATACCTCTCGAATTTAACATGCACTTATCATTAATGTACTATTTCATGTTAAATTTGAAACGATTATTCCGAATTTTCGATTATGGGAATGTCAACTAAAAAAATATATTATGAATGACATGTTTAGAGTGCTATAAAAAAATGTAATTAGTATCGTTAATATCTCGGGAGAGCTTATTGGATTTGAACCAAGATAAACATTTATTACATTCTTAAAGCCCCTCTGTACTAGTTTGGCCAGGAGAGATTAGAGAGATTAGCGTGGTCACTGACAGGTGGTTATCTCATCAACTCAGCTTTCAATTAACACAAGAAGGAGAGGATCATGGGGGACCAACGGGCACCGCTAAGGAATTGTTTGCTATATAGAGGGAGCAAGTAGCTACAAGTAGTGTGGTGGGGCTTTAATTGAGATTTTGTAATAAGAATGTTTAAGTTGCCACGTGACAAAAATACGGAAGTATGATCTGCGAACAAAATGTATGTTAACGAGAGTGGTAATGCATTAACAATATCATTCACATATATTAAAAACAGTGTGGGACCTAAAATGAAGCCCGGTGGTACTTACATTTAACTGTGGAAATATTTGATGTTTTAGATTTAGAAATAACATATTAACGTCAATTACGCAAGTAGGGGGACAGTCCCTCTGACTCTATAATCCATATGCCTTTAATTTAAGAATTAATAGACTATATTACACGGTATCGAATACCTTCAATACACCCAAAGAACTAAGTAGAGACTATTGTGTTTTTTGTGTGGAGAGAGCGATTATCTCTAAATCCATATTGATTAGAAATCAATGAGGTATTCATATTTCAAAGCGAATTTAATACTTTTAAAACTTTTTCTGTTTATACTAATATTTGTGAAATGCTAGGTAAAAACGAAATTGGTTTGTAGTTTTCAATATGAGATGGATCATCCTTTCATATCTCGGAATTATTTTTGTAATTTTTAGATGATTTAGGGAATACTTTCGGGGAGAGAGATAAATCAAAGGCATGTAAAAGTAGTAAAAGCAATAAAGTAAAATATTTCTGTTTGATTAAGATACACTTAATTGATCATAGCCGGTAGCTTTACTTGATTTTAATGAACGAATAATTTCTAAATGCCGATGAATATGTGTTCGAATAAAAACAAAAACGGCCAAACATTATTAATTAATTTTTTTTAAAATCTTTATTTTTGGTATGATCTAAACGACGGATCGTGTTCTTTTGGTATTAGTGATTTGATAAACTAACGGGGATTTGTTTTCCTTCTGGAAATAATTAACTTTTGTTGCTGATTTTTTTGTTTGTTTGTTTTTTTTTTTTTTGGGGGGGGGGGATACGGTTTGTCGCCTTATACAGAAATGTTTAAACGGCCTGTTGAGTTTTGTTGCAGAGGGCGTTACACAAAATAATTTTTGTGAGATAATGACAAACTGAGAGTCAAATTTGAAAGAAGATACCATTTTTTTAATGACTTTGTTTGATTAAAAATAGATTCAGAGATGGCTGAAATTTCCATAAATATGATAATTTCTAATATTTGTGGTGCCCAACAAATATTCACTCATTTTGAACAAGCCGTTGAAAAACGATATAGCGCCTTATATGTTCTATTCCAGCCAATGCCAATATTGGCTTTTTGGGGGGCTTTTTCGTGTGGGTTATAATACGCAAAACCAGCCGACCCATGTCTTGTTATTGTATCGGTCACCGTATTTTTTTAAAGTAGAGCTGAATTGGTATGATCGTATTTAAAGGGACTTGGTATCAATCTTCAGATGAGAGAAAATAGTGCTAAGGTAGTGACTTCAATGCTTGATGTACAATTAAAGATAATCTGAAAGTTTGAGTGAAAACGGACCATCATTAATGATGAAAAAATTGGGAAACTATATTATTCCAATTTACTTACATTTTAGGTGAATGTAAATCGTCACAAATTAATGAATTTGCTCTTCATACCATTCCAGACATTTAAATGTTGAACAATTTTAAAAGCCTTTCTTATGTCGATTTTTCATGGAAAAACGGTTGGGAAAACTCAAAAATGATTTGGAGAATTTACTGGTAGAGGGTGTCGTGCAGTGACTCCTTCAAAAAAAAAAATCATTATCTGTTTGATCATTTTTCAGGATTTTTAGCATGTTAGAGGGTAGATACAGTAGAAGGAAAATAATAAGTAACATTTCATACAAAAATTACGCAGTTTTTTCATCAACCTTCAACAATGTTACTGAGTCGCTTTAATCTAAATTCAACCATTTTGGGGTCTAACGTACCTTTATACCAACTTTAGTTCTAAGAAGGCATTAGAAATATCATAAATAATAAAGAATAAGAGCAAATACCATCCACTTTGAAGGCTTTTGCGGTCTTAGACAAGAACTCAACTATCCCTTTAAGACTGCGCTTAAATTTCCCCTGCGTTCCCCAATTATAAAGTCTGTGAGCGAGGGAAGCAATATGGTTTTATTTTCTTAAAATTCTACATAACCAAAATCATCGCCAAAATATTGGTCATCTAAACATTATTTAGGGCCTGCAGCGGCTCCATCATTGGCAACGGCAATACGCGAGACCGAAAATATCGGTTTGACGGGTCGTCGGTTACCCTGCATGGCTGTGCTGCAGCTATTACACAGGGGGATGTGTTATTTATTCTCTTTCGTGGTAAGAACTATTTGAGTGTTTTGTTTTGATTTTCTTAACATACATCGTATTAAGGAGGGAAATTAAGCATTAAAAAACCCCGAGATTAATCAATAGACCTTGACCGAACTTCGAGATGTTTGCTTCTTTTCCTACTGTGTTATCGATTTGCCCCAAATTACGACTGAAAGACACACAGTCAAACTCAACGGTGGAAAGTGATTTCGGGTTTAACTTGACATACTATCTTGTAAAATTACAGAAAGAAAAAGAGCAAAATGAGAGACAGCACAAAAGAAAGAGAAATTATTGATATGCTGTTCGTAAAATTACTTTTAGGTTTTTATTTTTTTAAAGAAGAAAAACAAAAGAAAAAGAAGATTGATTGCGCCTTAGGAATACTCGAGCATTATTAAAAAATACACCTTTACCCTAGAATGGAATCCGAAATCCTATAAATACAATACTCCTGAAAAAAGTGATTTTATTTATAATAATGCCGTTCTTGAATACCGCTGCGACGGGCCAAATTACTACACCGAGCATGGCAAATGGAGATTAGTGTCTAGCAAAAGGACAAACTGCTGCATGAATTCGAACCCCTTGGAAGATGAAGATAACAGTTTGAAAGGGGTGGGGGACATTTTCTGCCCTACATCCCTATCTCAAAAGAGTCGTCCTTTCCATCATGACCATGGTTTCGAAAAGGCTACTGCCCAGGCTTGCATATGATTTGTTGGTACGATGGTATATTTGCCGGTAAGCCCATGCAACCAGAAACGTTGGGCCAAGAAGGAAATAGACTTTTTTTGTCAATTATGTAGTATCAAAAGTATTGATATTGTGCGACTTTTTAATGTAACATCTGTGAGCAAAGAAAAGAGGTTTGTTGGTACGATGGTATATTGTCGGTTAGCCCATGCAACTAATAACGTTGGAACAAAATTTAAAAGTCCTTTTTGTTAAAGATGTAGTATCAAAATTACTTATACACCTCAGCTGTTACTAGATACCATCTGTGTATTCCCTTGGACAATGTTGTCGGATGAAGCTGCTGTTTGTTTGTTGATTTTGCTTGATTTTAATGATATGTACGCGCTGTCTACTTTAGAATCGTTGTACTTTGTCATGTTCATGATGTAATCGTAGACAAATGGACAGCCCAAGACAGCCCAGGAGGGCTCTGAATATGCAATTGAAATAACTTTCTCTTTATAAGTGAACGTGCATAATTATACTTAATTCACCTCTCAGTTCTTTTACTATTTACTATTTTTTTTTTCTTTCCTATCAACGTTCTGTTGTACAATATGTCATATTCATAATATCTATAATGTTCTCTCAGTTACTGTGTTAAGATATGGGCGTTCCAAACTCAAGCTATGCTTTTCGGGTTTTCGCCTCATTCTGTTATCTAAATTATTTACTGTTTACTCTATGTTGAAATCATTGTTACATATATGACTTATATATACATTGTGTTTCATATTGTACCGTTGAGAAGGAAATAAATGTTTATAAATTTAAATACAAATACAACATTATTGATATTGTGCGACTTTTAAAAGTAACTTTTTATGAGTAAAGACAAATGGATTGCTTTTAATAAAAAAAATATTCTTGTTTATTTTGTTAACATATTTCCTGTTGTTTATCAATAAGAGAAACACATTTTGCGTTATCGACAGCAAAAAAAAAGACGAAAGATATCGTTTGACTTTTATCAGAATGTAGTCAATAGAAGCATGGTCGTTGCTAAACGATCTTTCGCCTTTCATTGTTGTTTTACAGATTATTACTTACACCTTTAACCTTGACATCCCTGTATATCTGCCCAATGGAAACAATGACAAGCAAAGCTGACAGGCCGTCAGCCAAGGCGATGTTGCAGGTGAAGATATTCTGTTGCTTCCTGAGCTTCTTGCGTCCAATGATGACGCCAACTGTAAGAACGTTCAAGATGAAAGCTAAACTCTGCAGGACGAGTTCAGCAATGTAGTGGTGGATTTCAGCCATGCCGAGTAATTCAGCTTTAATACGGTGGTTCTGGCGGTAAAGTTAGAGTGGCACAGAGTGATCTTTTGCCAAATTTGCTGGAGATAACTGCTTTTATCGGGGTATTTCAAATTCGACACATCCACAGGGCTGCGATAAATCACTGAATGCTGATTTGAAGAAGAAATAAAAGACATGCCCCTCCCAACCAAACCACCAATGAGAAAACGGCAATTTCTACGTCAGCCACTCACAGTGATGCAAAAAAGATGAAGTTAACTTGGTCTAGTTTCTGGTTCGAATGTCATTGAGCGATGATATATCCTTTCTGATACTAAATAGTTAAAACTGTCATTGGATTCAGAAAGGGATTTTTTTTTCATCTGTCTTTTTCTCCAGATCTCAGAAAACTACCCTTTAATACTGTATACATTCACGATAACCACTCTTTTGTGTTAATCCTACCTTGTCCATATTTTCTTTAACCGATTGTCTGCTGGAACAGGGTGGCTCCTGTAGTAAGCCCTTGGCAATGAATGAATTTAGTAGTCAATGGGTTAATTGTCTTTTCTGATTTCCCAGGCGACATCAAGGCGAAGTTGACAAAACCAGGGCAAAGACATTGATTGGAAATCTTCCTTTTTTGAAAAGTCGGAGCGTTTTCTTGTTAATGGTTAACTTGATCCTTCAAATATGTCTTCAATATTCTTTTCTTCAATTGATGAATGTTAAAATGCCAGAGGTGAAACGCCATACATTATATTTCATTGAAACGTTCATAAAGTAGAGAAACGAATATAGACATACTAAATCTTGTTGTCTTGCTCTTATCGGTGTAAATCACAAAAGCAGATGAGTGCAAAACGGAAAGCCGTAGTATTTCTGTATTCTTTGCTATCCTTCGATTTTGTAGCACCAATCATCTCTTTCAAATTGAAATAGCCTTATTGATACGTTGGAGCCTTTTATGCAATTGAGTATCAAATATATTTTAAGAAGAAATTTGTCTCTCGTTGCTTCTTCCCGTAATCTGAGAGATCCTATTCTCTGCATTTGTATTATCTGTTTTTCCGACAGATCAAGCCTTTTAATAAAAGAATTCTACTATACCATAAACGGCAGGCACTAGCTTTTTTCCGAAGGTTAATTTTCTGAAGGTTCATAATTCCGGATGTTCACATTTATTATAAATATTTGATAAGCTACAAAAGTTGGATATACCTTTTTAAACGCACTGTATACAATTTTAATTCCCTGGGAAGTAAATAAGATTGCGACTTATGAAATTGCCTGTGAAGTGAAGATACAGGAGAGTGAAGATGGTTGGGGTGGAGGTTGTGGGCACATACCCCTTGTCCCCTCCCATATCCCGTCGAATGGATCTGCATCTGACCAGCAGAATATAGAAGAAGTATTAGTTGAAGTGGTGGTAGTAGTAGTAGTAGTAGGAGTAGTAGATTTAGGAGTAGTCATTATAGTGGTAGTGGTGGTGGTAGTAGACGTAGAAGTAGTAGTAGTAGTGGTAGTAGTAGAAGTAGTAGTAGTTATTTTAGTATTAATATTATTAGTAATTATTTTAGTGGTGTGGATGATAGTAGTAGTCGTAGTATTTGTAGGGGTAGTAGTAGTAATTTTAGTGTGGGATCTAGTAGTGGAAGTAATAGTAGTATGAGTAGAAGTAGTGATTGTAGTAGTGGTTGTAGTAGAAATAGTATTAGCAGAGGTAGAAGTAGTTGTAATTGTAGGGGGTAGCTAGTATTGGAAGTAGTAGTTGTTTTGGTATTAGTATTAGTAGTCGGGGAGCTAGTAGTAGTAATCAGGCGCGTATGCAGGTGTTTTTTTTTTTTTTTTGGGGGGGGGGGGGTGGGATTAAAGCCCACCCAATGTTTCTATTTGTGGATTTTTTTTTAAACGCTTCCTTTTTTACTCAGGGGGGGGGGGGGTGGGTGTTGATTAAATATAAGATCTTTACCCCCCTCCCATTGAGCGAATATTCAATTTTCTTGGGGAAAAAATGCTCACTATCCCTAACGCCTGACGTGTTTAAAGAGCTTCCTTCGGCAACTCACAGAACTAGCCTGGTCCTTTGAAGGTAAAGACCAGTTATGGTCATACGATTGCATTGTGGAATCGATCAGAAAAGGTTGATCATCTAGCATATAAGTATTGGTGTGTACTGCAAGGTTCTGGAATCATCAAAATGATAAGAAATTTTGCCCTTTCTTCGTAAAGTTACAAGCACTATACACAGAAATATGTATATGGGACTACCCTTTATCTCTCACAGTCAAATAGATATACTAATTTACCAAATATATCAATTAGTAGGCGATTCCCCGGCAAATTTGTTATCATCATGTATTAGTCAAAACATATTCTTTCACATGATTGGTAATGAGAGCTTCCATTTCATTTTTTGAAATTGGGGCGTTTCCAATACTGGTCTTTACCTTTAAACATCTTGATGTCTGGTACGTAGAATTCAAATTAATTTGGATAAGCAAATAAAGGGAAATACTGTGTATTTCGTGTATTGGAAGTAGTGAATTGGTGCATTTTGTTCATGTACCGTAGTGTTATAGAGACCTGGTAGAGACACAATTTCAGACAATTAATATTCACATTCCTGTGTGCACCTTATTCAAAGCGCGACATTGTTGGGATAATTCCTAACCTTGCTTTCCCTAATATTTAAGCACCTAAGCAGTTCTTTGTAAATTTTCTCAAAAGAATGGAAGAGTAAAGTAAATATTGTTGAATAACCTACGATTTGCCGCTGGTAACACCATTATGCATAGTTATACCAACAATAGGCGTAGCGGGCGTCATTCTTGTAAACAAATCCTTTTCAAGATGGCGGCGCCCATATTAAGATTTAGCACTGTTTCGTGTTTCACAGATTTGATTATGTGACTTTGTATAACGATGCAATGATATATAATAGGAAAGTTATAGATTAATTGATAGGTTAATCCGGCATTCTAAGTTGTGTTTATATAAAATTTGATTTAGAAAGCAGATAGTAATTTGCTTGAAATCTTCCTCATTAGTTGTTTGGAACTTGTTTATATGCATTCATGTGTAATCCTATAATGTAATTAACCTGTGCAGTTATGTGTTACGACACAATGACTAGATGTTGTAACTGAAAAGCGAATATTTGAATTCATAATTCATTGTATCACGGTACAAATAAATAGGCGTGAAAAAAGAGTAGTGAGTAATTGAAATTGAACGATGGATATTTTGATTTTAGCAAAAGTTTGAAGGAGGCCAGACTAAGTGGAGCACGTTACTTTTCACAACTTGATTTGGCACATGGCTACTTTCAGGCGTTATCGTCGAACTTCTTTAAGACAGTACAGCAATGACCTTGCATTGATGGTGACTTCAAGAAGTCTATTCGAATATTCAACCATTCCATGTTTATCAGTATACAAAAATGAAATGCAAGAAACATCGGCAGCTCAAATATTTGCAGGCTTAGAGCATGAACAAAAAACTGTCACTGAATAATCCTTTTCATCTTCCTCGAAATTATATTACTAACGAAATTTCACAACACGAATACGGACAAAGGAAGCCTGCTGTGAATTTGATTTTATTATTAACCATGGTAACATAGGAATCGGAGAGAAATATCTTAATGTGCTTTACATGCAGTGATGGATAAACAATGTTCTGTTCGATTTATCACGAATCTCATATTTAATTTAATTTATTTTCATATCCAGACTTTGCGTAATCTTTATGTATACATTTTACTTATCCTTCTGCTTTTCTTAAAGCCAACCGGGTGCTAGTTTGGACCTCCTCTTTATAATAACAATGATGGTGATACTAATAACTATAATGATAATAATAACGATGATAATAATACCAATTATGACAGTAATAGTGATAGTAGCAATGACGGTTAATGGAATTTTTTTTTTCTTCAACCCCGGCATTCCGGGGAAATGAGGTAGAAATGTGTTTTTCATTCCTATTACATGTAATTATGGATTGTATTTCAATTGTGCTTTCCACTATCATAATTGTACTTGTGATTGAGTGATTGCCAAATAAATGATAATGATAGTAATATTTATTAATATAATACAACTTCTTTATAAATTTACATTACTTAAAGGGATAGTTGAGTTCTTGTTTCAGACCGCAAATGCCTTCAAAGTGCATGGCTATTGCTCTTATTCGTATGTACTCATTTATATTGCTCTTTCCGGACCTAAATTTGCCATGAAGATAATTTAGACCACAAAATGTGTGAAATTTAGCCAATACCATCATACCAACTCAGCTCCACTTGAAAAAAAATACGGTGACCGTCAGTTAATTAATTAATTAATTATAAAAAGACACGTACCGGCCGGTTGTGCGTATTATACCCAACGCGAAAAAGCTTTCATCGGAATTGGCTGGAATAAAACGGCGCTATCTCGTTTTTTCAACGGCTGGTTTAATTAACCAATATTTGTGGGGCACCATAAATATTAAAAATCGTTATTTTTCTGGATATTTCAGCCGTCTGTAAACCGATTTTTATCAAAGAAAGATGATTTTGTTATTTGAATTGTATTTTCTTTCAAATTTGACACTCAGTTTTTCATTATCTCACAAAAAATATTTTGTGTAGCGCCATCCGCAACAAAACTCAACTATCCCTTTAACTGCAGTTAAGCAATTTTGTCAAAAAGCAGACGTATATGGGTCTGAGCTTAACAATCGTGATTCTTGATAGGCGTTATATTATCTACAAACCATGGTGTTATACATGAATATAATCTTTTGCAGTGCATTGGTTTATTGTGAGCTTACACAAGAAATTATACATTATATATACACTGTACAGCGCGTCTCAAACAATGAGCTACATGACCACAATTCAATAGCGTTAATCCACACACGCTTCCTTGAGCATGCAGCATTGCTTTGCAAATATGTCAAAACCAACATTTGCCAGATTTTGGACAAACCGTCAAAAAACCTGAAAAGAATTGCCTGAAAGAAACTAATAAAGA